CTTGGACTCTGAGGGTGGCAAGGAGGGTCCCCCTGACCGCTGAGGAGAGTTGCATCTTGTGAAGTCAACAGCCACAGGAGAAAGTGCATGATGATGAATAAAATACTGCTCTCCTTGTGGAAGCAACTTGAAAAACTTATAAAACACATTCATTCATTTTCACTACCACTACCAAGCTTTTTTGTAAACTCTCAAAGAAAAACCCAGGCAATTGAGCTTAAAGACTACATTGTCGTTTTATTTTTAAAATGTTTTCAAATCATGTCTGTTTTTTTAAAGAGGTTATTTATTTGTTTATTTTATAAGTTTGGCACAAGGAGACTGCTGAGTCCTGAAGACTTGGGCTTTTTATTCTGTTGGATAAACAGAAAAAGGCACGTTTTTGCATTTTTTTTAATCCTCATAAGAATGTAACCTAGCCAATCAACTCCACTATATTCAGATACAAGTATATGTCTCTCTCTGGGTATTCTATTTTCAAGTCATATTCTGTCATAAATTTGGAATTAAAATTAACTTGCAAATTTTAGGTAAAACAGAGTGATAAAATTTAATGATCACTAAAATTTCAAGTGAAAGCCATTTTCGGAAACTTGGTTCCCAGCTCTCCCGAGGCCTCCTGATGTAGTAAATTGAAGTGTGCAAATCTAATTGGCTGAGACCTTGCTTGACCCCAAGACAGACTCACATTTTCTCTCAGTTGAAACTTCAAACCAAATTGAAAGCTGGATACGTCTCTTCAGCTTTAGACAAAGCAAAAAAGTTTAAGCAACCGTCATGTCACCTTACACTCAAAGTGCCAAAGGACTGTCCTACCCCCTAATCCAGAAATACCCATATTTAGACGCATCTTAGGGTAGTATGTAGGTATGCAATCATGCATTCTAATTTCTAGAGTTACAAAAGTACCTTTACAAATCTCAGGAGTCATGCTAAGGAAGACCTAGATACCACATCACTTTCTATTTAAATAAAAATAAACAGTTAACAGTGATTTGTCAATGAAGTCACACTGAGACTTCTAAAACTATACTCCAGTATCTCCTGGGGTATGCGTGTTGGTGGGGTGTGAGGCTGGGGGAGGGGAGGAATTATTGGAGAAATATTCCCATTTCACCCTTATTTCTTTCTAAAATAACTCTAAGGGAGTATGTGGCACAGAGATGAAGACACTACTTGGGTCATCAGCAACCTGCACTGGAGACCAGTTTTGAGTCCCTGGGTTCTGATTCTAGGCTCTTGCTACTGGTACCTAAGAGGCAGTAGGTGATGCTTCAAACAACCTGCCACCCTTGCAAGAGACCAAGTTGAAGCTCCAGCCTTCCAGCTTCAGCCTGGTTCAGCTCCACCTTTTTTCAAGTGTTTTGACAGTAATCAGGTAGAAAAAAGTTCTTTCTGCTTCATTTCTCTGTCTTTAAAATGAAAGACACACACATACTGTTCTAGGTGATCTTCCTGGAGGCTCTAAACTCTCAGATTATCATATGAACTGCAGGTACAGCCTATGGGCATTCCATAATCTGGAAAAATCGTTGACAGAAAACCCTGGAAATTAGTGCAGGGTTTTCACTAGCCAAGTTTAACACGGGGATGTTCACCAGGAGGCCTGGCAATGTTACTCGATTCGCTGAGATGTTAATGGCAGCCTTTTCCAGGGCAACCAGTTGCCCCTTTATCATTCATTGGTGATTTTTCTTTATAAACATATTTTCTACAACTTGGCTTACAATTCTGCACTGCTATTTCTGTGTTATAACACCTCATATCAATATTTACTTGGCTTTTTCCAAATCAATATAGTCATGTTACCATATGCTACCCCATAACTACTTGAGCTAAGGTAGTGGCTAGGGAAAAGATGAGTTGCCCCTTTCTGCTCATTTTAAATGCTTTTGCCCAAGTACTACAGAGGTGATAAATAAAACTTAACATTTCCAACTCTTCCATCACTGACACAGTTCCAAAAATTACAAAAGTCTCTCTCTCTCTCTCTCTCTCTCTCTCTCTCTATATATATATATATATAAAGCAAATTTTAAAACTTCCTTCAAGTTGAGGGTTGCAGAATATTTCCAAAGTATAAGTAATAGAGAATTTGAATAGAATCTTGGGTCATCCGACAATAGTGCATTACTAATGCCACTTAATATTCTTAGCAACATGGACTCTGGGAAGTCTTTTTTTTTTTTAAACACAAACATGTTTTAATCAAACAAATTATTCAGGTAACTTATACAAAATATCTAACAATATCAGAAACTGTTTCCAGAAATACCCGCCTTGTTTCTTGCTTTTATCTCCAGCATGCGGCATTGTATCTGGGACACAGTGGGTACAATAAACAGAGCCCAGACTGAATATTCACCGACAACCTGTTAGGTTTCAAGTTCCTCATGTTCTTTTAATCCTCTTGCCAATTCTATGAAGTTGGTATTATTATTTATAGATTCTGCATCAAAGTTAATGTACAGATGGCCTAGTTTTTTTTTAAAAAAAGAGAGGGACTAGCAAAACAGCTCATCCTCACCTAATTTCAACTCATTTCAAATGAACTAAAAAAGGAGATGACTCAGTTAGCAGAAGAGGAGGGACAGACGAGTTACTTGGGCACTCTTTCATGATGGGTTACATGGTGAAGCTTTGCATAACCTAGCATGACACTAAGCCATCTCTTTTGGGGTGTTTGGCATAAGCAATAGGAGGAAAGCAAGAAGCTGGTGAAAGTTGAATCTGGTAAGTTGAAATGTTAACAAATAGAAACAAAACAAAACGAGCAGCAGCACCTGTCTCTAGCTGCCATCTATCACAGGTTTGAACTCACGGAGAACACTTCAGTTGACCCAAGGGAAAACCCTCGGAGTCGATGGTAAATCCTTCCGCTGATTTGGGAAAATTGAAGAATGAAGATGCTTGCTTCAATGTTCCTCAAATCCATATGCACTACAGATTTATAGTTCAAGACATGCTTGGTTTTCAAAGAATGTAACGAGAAATGAATCTCACAAAATGATCGCTGCTAAATTCCAATGAAGAATCTCAGTAATTATAAGCTGTATTGTGAAAATTACCCCCAAATACATCTGTCTCCTTTGTTTGTGATTCCTCTGCAGATTAAAAGTACTCTCTTCCCTGTTGCCCTCCTCTTCTGTCACTTTACCTTTTTTCACTGTTTATCACCACTCATACCAACCTCTTCACTTGCTGACCTTTGCCTTCAATGCAGTAAGTGGGGAGGTTGGCAGAGTGGGAGGATTCAAGAGGGAATGTGTGTGTGTGTGTGTGTGTGTGTGTGAGAGAGAGAGAGAGAGAGAGAGAGAGAGACAGAGAGAGAGAGAGACAGAGAGCCAGGACTTAAAATTCAAGGCTGCTAACTTCATCCTCATACTCTCAAAAAATTTTTAAAAACTAACTTGTATTTTTCCCCTACAGTACTACTATGTGCTTTTATGACTTTAAATTATATGCTACTAGTTTTCTCCAAATTATCAAGTGTAGCGATTTAGTTGGCTGGAGTACTCCATGGCCTTTGATGGAAATTTTGGTGGAAAATGATGCCAATACTTAATAAACATGTGAGATGCAATGTAGGCTATTAAATTTAATGAATTATTACTGATTCCAACATTCATACTGTTAGAGAGATAAACTCAAAATGATTTGTGTTCCCATTCTCAAAAGGTCAGACACGCGTGCAATACATATATTTATATTTGATATTCTGGGGCAAACAGAATACAATACATAACCAGAAAAACTTGGTTACCAGCCCAGCTCAATCTAAATACTTCATGCCATTAGGTCTTGTCTTCTGTGAGTATAAGAAACTTGGCTTATACTAAATTAAAGAAGATGGGTAAGGCAAGTACACACTTGGGATTTTATTCTTAGTCCCAGATTTCAACTTCCAGTGCTCTTATTTTTTTTTTCCATTTTGAAAGCATGTAAGAAAGCAAAAGAAATTATCAGTCCACATCCATAGCAAACAAGCCACTTTACTAGAGTTTGTACAAACTATGCTTTGTCAGCATGTTCAGATCAGTCACACGATGTTGTCTCAATTCATAAGGTATTTAAGAGAAAAATATCCAATCACAGAACATTTCCTCTACCCTTTGGGCTTGACTTGACCCCTGTTTCACTGCCAGAAGCAAGTATCATCAGCCCTAGCTTGGGATACATCGCTCTCTAGTCCCACCCTACAGCTGCAGACCAATGAAGAATTCTGGATGTCTAAAGAATTTACTGTTTTTAATCTCCATAAGAAATTAAGTGAATTGGCTCTGTCATGTGAGTATAACTGATTATGTTTTCCCTAATAAAGATAGACATTTGAGTTATCCATTTGTAAGTTAGTGCAATGTAAAAGGAAAAGAGGACTTTTGTCAGATGCCAACTTAAAGTTAATTGTTCATTCCACAGAAATGTCAATTAAAATTCTAGCAGAAACTTTTCAAACACAATTTTCTGGTTCAAGAAATGTGCATGCTAAGTCAAAAGACTACATAAAATCACTTTTAAGCTTCAGATGCTTACTAACATTCCTGGTTGGTCGTAGACAGTATCCATGTAACTAGAAGAGTTTTTGAGTTTGGCTTGGAAATGTAGGTTCCATGAATTCATCAGAGTTTGATAACTCATCAGCATTGCATTGGGAATGCTGGCTGAGAGAGGATGTGGCCTTCCATTCCTATTCCACTGTACATTAAATTGCCATAAGGAATAAAGGTTCCTTTCAAGAGTCACATGGGGAGGGGGAGAAGCAGAGAGAGGGAGAAAAAAAGGTCACCTGGAGCCTTAGGCAGCATCTTGTTCTAGTGTATAGGGGTTCTGAAAGACTGTTAAACAAGATTCCAACCTGAGCATTCATATTCTGATATCATATTTATCACCTCAAGTGATGCAGCAGTAAAAACATGCAAATAACAGAGAATAAAAGAACAGTCAAACCATGCTTTTACTGTAAAGATCCTCACCCAATTTAAGAATTTACTTTACTTTACCTGAAGAGATTCCATTTCTTCATTTTTTCTTTGGGTCTCCTGCAGCAGATCTATAATTATAAAGAAATTTAAAAAAAAAGGAAAATGTCCATCAAATACAATCTAAACATTGTTTGGCACCTAGCATAAAACGCCAGTCAGTCAGTGACTTCTACAAACTGTAGCAAAATGAGGACACCAAATCGGCTACAGATTCAAAATTCCAGCTACATTACAGCAATTTTGTATAATGCTTAAAGAGCTCAGAAGTAACATTAAATTTAACATAAAGACAGAGACACTTTATTCTTAAAAAAAAGAAAAAAGAACAAAAAAAACTAGAAATCAACTGTTTTCTCTTAAAACAAGCTCCCAAGCCAACTCCCAACCCCTCCAGAATTGGTTTTTACAATCACATTTAAATACCTGGGAATAATGGGTGTTAGAAATGGAAGTAGATCACCACCTCACACTGTAAAGTCATACTAATTATCACTTCACACCAAGAGGGTAGGATACACTGAAATTAAAGCTGACCAACAGTTTGGCATCATTTCTAAGAAATTAGTGTAAGGAAAGGTAAACAACTGCAGAGAATTCTGTCTTAATGCATGCAATAGAGCCATGGTGTATCCGTGCTCTACATTAATTTATGAATTTGCCAAAAAGGGAAATATATTTAGTAAGCAGAATTTTCTGCCCGCAGCTCCACCACTATGTCCTGTGATCTTATTAGATCTCAGAAACCTAAAGGCAACTGGGCTGAGTCAGAACTTGGATGAAAACAGGCAAGCAACACATTAATGCTAGTATTTGACTTCCTCTGTGATTGATATAGCTTACCAAGAGGTTGTGCTGCATGAAAGAAAAACATAAGTTACAGAAACTCCATAACTATTCCAGAAAGGCAAATGTAAATGATTTTAGAAAGTGTTACACTATACATAGCAGGAAACAGCAATAAGACAGAGGGCAACCGTGTCGGTATATGTCATTCCTGGGCCGGCAAAATACTCAACCTTTTGGCAAACTAGCTGATGATGCACTGCATGGTGATGGCTCTTTGGGATTGAAGAACTCAGAAGGGTATACTGAGGAGTGGCATGTTTTATTCTATATCTATTAGAGTAACTGATTTTTGCCTCCCAAAACTTTTGATTAGGGTTGAGTCAATAAAATTAGAGGAAATGTCACTTATCTAGGGTATATTTTAAAAATGATTTTGATTGGCATATCAGGTTCTCTATCTGTAAGGTAGTAAAACAAAGCTAGTCTGTTAGATCATTCCTGTTCCTGCATCCTCGCCTTGGACGCACAAGGATCCCATAAGGGTGCTGGTTCTAATCCCAGCAGCTCCACTTCCCATCTAGCTCCTTGCTTGTGACCTGGGAAAGCAGTAGGGGACAGCCCAAGGCCTTGAGACCCTGCAGCCACGTGGGAGACCTAGAGGAATTTCCTGGTCCTGGCTTCGGATTGGCACAGCACTGGCCATTGTGGTCACTTAGTGAGTGAATCATCAGACAGAAAATCTTTATTTCTAACTCTCCTCTTCTCTGTATATCTGACTTTCCAATGAAAAATAAATATATCTTAAAAATAAAAAACTTGTGAAGTCTACCAATGGTTTTCTAACCATGTACATTTTCTATGAGCCTTTTAAAGACCCTTCAGATATCCACACCTGTACCTGTACACCTGCACCTGTACCTATCGCTGGTGCTCGCTGGTGCTCAGGAGAAACCCGAAGCATGCACTTTCAGGAATAAAACAATTAAAAGAAACATCACCAAGAAAATGGCAGATCAGAATGATGCTATAAACCAATAGACCTAAAAGTCACTTCTAAAATGTACAATATAAAAGGAACCCACAACAGTCTGGGCAGGTCAAAACAGCAACACCCGAATATGCATCCTAAAACAGGATGTGGAGTGGGCCGGGCTGCAACTGGAAGGGGGCAGACTGGGCAGGGCCGAACAAACCTTAACTCACAAGAAAGAACAGAAATCAGGCTGGAGCACAGGTCATGCTGAATAGGCCCTTGCACTTACTGATCTGTGTGAGCCAGGGACGCAAAGCCACAGCATCTAAGGCAGGGGCCAGGGCAGGGGAGGGGCTCTGCCAAGCTGAGTCAGAGCAACCACTGGCCTGCACATGATCTAAGGCTGGGAATAGGCCCGGTTGAGGAGCTAAGGGGACACCCTAGCTGGGTTGAGGTTCCCACCAAGAAACGCATGGGTTGGAACGGGGGCTGCGTTCTGATCAGGATAAGGTTGTAGTCTCCCTTGGCACAAGTGTAGACTGGGACTGGAAGCACCAACCAGCCTAGACTCCAGCACCATCTTGTGCTCTGGAGGACCAGGGTAGATGTGGGATTGACTAGGCTAGGTCTCAGCCATGTGTGAGCTGTATGTGGGTATGGACAAGCCGTGGCTGAGTTGAAACATCCAACAGTAAGAACCAGCTTGGGTTGAAGGCCAGTTAGGAAAGCCACTGTTCCTGCTAGGACAGAAAGTGAACTGAGTAGGGCTGGCTCATGGACCCACTGGTAAATGCAAAATCTGGCATTGGGAGAGGTTCTGATGGAGGAGACTGGGCAACTCCTCTGGCAGGACACAGTCTCTTCAGGTAAGCCCAAAAAGCATGATAGGAAACCGCCCAGAACAGGCTGTGGAAATTATTACACTGGCATACATTTGGCATGGGTTGGGGGCAGTCCAGGCTGAACCCATTCACATCACCAGCTGGCAAATCTGAGCACCAGAATAGAGTGTGGGTTGGGCCAGGTTCAGTTGCGACACACACCAGCGCACATTAAGGAATGCCAAAGTGAGATTAGCCTTACCAGATGTGGTTGCAACGCCCAAACATCACATGTGAAAACCAGGGGGAGAAGGTAAAGCTGACAGGGGAATGTGGGTTCCCCTGCTGGACAACCACTCCCATTGGAAAACGTGAGTCGGGATGGGAGCAGATCAGACTAGGCAGGGCTACAACACCTGTGGGCCTCATGTGAACTAGATAAGGGAAGAGCCAGGGTAGGCTGACTGTTCCAACTGGTGCAAGCAAAAATTAGAGTGGGTGAGGGTTGGTTGGGCTTAGCCATGGCATCAGCTGGCAGAGGATGGCACTGGGAGCTAATTCTGTCAAGTCAAATGCCAGAACCACCTGGAGAGTGCATAATCTGGGAGTGGGAGTGACCTAGTAAGGAGATAGTGGGCACCTCCCTCATGGGTAACCACTCTCGCTAGATAGCACGAAAACCAGGACAGGGGCAGGGGTGGCTAGACAGAAAGGTGCCTGCCAGTATGTGTGTGAGCAGAATAGTAGGTTGGTTGGGTTGAACTAGGCTTCAATGCCCATTGACATGTACAAGAGCTAAATGGGATGTGGGACAGACTGAACAAGTCTGTGGTACATACTGGGATGCATGGGAACCAAGGTAGGGTGCAGAACTGGTGGGGGTTATGGGAAGTTGCCCTAACCAGGCTGCAGCTCCCACTGGTTTGCGTGAGGACCGAGTATGAAGTGGGTAGGATCGAGCTGGACTACAACACCCATTGGTTCACGTGGAAAACAGGGCTGGAAACACAACTGAACCGGCAATGGCAACAACCGGCATGTGCATAAGCTGACTGGGGCGACGGACAGTGTCGGACCCCGTATTGGCAAACTCACACAAGATTCAGGTCTGGGATCATCTCAGATGAAGTTTCTTTGGAGATCCCTCCAAATGAAATACTGATCTCAGAACCCCAACCACGAAGAGACAATGTCAGCCAGTGGACTCTGAACAGGTTTCATCGCCAATGGAATGGCGAGATTGGCAGCATTCCAGAACCATTGAACTATCAAAACTGCTTGAGCAGGACTCTGAGAGCGCACCTCACACTGGGGATCTAGGATGGGTGGGAGGCTGGGTGGAGCTTTTCCCTTTGTTTCTCCCCTGACCCCTGATACAGGGAAAAAAAATGATAATATTAGTGTGAAAACAATGGTATTACCCACTTTCATCCTGTAACCCTTGATCTTTTGTACCCTAATCAACTAATTAAGATTATTAAAAAAATAAATACATAAACCTCAAAAAAACAAAAAAAAGATAAAATGTGCAATATGCATTATCTAGGATAAGCCATATGACAGACCATTAAACATGTCAAGATAAATTTTACATGTCTGAAACCATTACAAATATATTCCTTGACCACAGTAGAATATTAGAAATCCATGAAGAAAGAAAATTTGGAAAATTCACAAATATATAGGAATTTAGAAATATACACTCCTGACTAATTGTGAGCCAAGAGGAAACCAAAGAGGAAATTAGAAAATTCTTTGAAAAGAACAAACACAAAAGACACAACATACCAAAACTTATGGGATACAGTGTGCTTATTAAGGAGGTCCAGAAAGTTCACTTGCCAAAGGGCTCTTAAACTTAATGGGAGGAAGCAATTCTGCCATTTGTGAATGAGGTCTTTCATGTGTCCTGGCTCTGGAGTGTGGCCTCGGCTAATGTGACACTGGCCTTTCTGGCCAACAGCATTATTTGTGATAGTCAAAAGATGGAGGCAGCCCAACTTGCCTATCACATGATGAATGCAAACTCAAAATGTGCTGTTTCTGTACAGTGTTATATCATTTAATTATATGAAATGGTCAGAATAGGTAAATCTATAAAGGTAGGTTTGTTGCCAGAGGACGGAAGAAATGGAATAGGTCTGACTGTTAATAGTTAGGGAGTTTCTTTTTGAGTCAATGAAAATACAAGGATGTAGTTGTGATAGCTGCATGACCTTGTGAGCACATAAAAGGTACTTTTGTAAAACTTGGATCCAATTGTATATGAAGCAATATCTAAATTTGCAAAAAAAAAAAAAAAAAAGAAAGGAAAAGAAAAGAAAAAACAACTAGGAAACATTAACATTTCTTTCATAGATTACGGAGCATGTACGGACATCCGAGCCCTTGCATACACACTCATACATTTACTTCTCTTAGTCTACCCTAAGATGGTGACGAAAATAATTTTTTAGGATCACTACATTAACTATTATCATTTGTATCT